TGAGGAATCCCATATCCAAATTCAGGCCGTTATCTCTTGTGTCCAATAGAATTATCATTCTTAGTTCAAACGTTTTTCTTTCCTGGATGGATTTGAAATTTCCTTTAAGAACTAAAATATTGAGGTCTCCCATTGTGTGGTCTGGTTGTGTGAAATGGTGTCCCACAGGTGTGCAGAGGTCATCTTCTTTATGTTCCTTGATGGTATGTCTGTGCAAATTCATCCTTGTTTGTAACTTCTGTCCTGTTTTGCCAGCATAGGATCCTTTGTTACATTTTCTGCACTGTATAAGGTACACAACATTACTGGAGGTGCAGCTGTATGATCCAGAGATATCAAAGATCCCTTTCGAGTGTCTGCCACTTTTTGACGGATTGATTTGGTTGCACAGTTTGCAGCGCATTTTATTGCAGGGTTTGCTTCCATTATTTGTGACATCATCATCAGAAAGAAGTTTCCTACTGATTAGTTTATTTCTGAGGTTGGGGGGTTGTCTGAAGGCCAGTATTGGTGGTTGCTGGAATATTTCTTTCAGAGTTCCATCCTCTGTTATGATGGGTTGTAAATCTTTGATTATTTTTCTTATTCCTTCTAGTGCTGGGTTGTATGTGGTTACTAAAGGTACACAGTTGTTTTTTTTTTTTTCTCTTTGTACTGAAGTAGATATTCCCTTCGGGTTCTCAAGGCTGTGTTTATGCTGGTGTTAATAGTTTTGTCCTTGTAACCTTTCTTATGGAAAGAGTCTGCTAGTGTCCCAAGATGTGTATCTCTGTCTCTTGGGTCAGAACATATTCGGTGGTATCTAATGGCCTGACTGTGTATGATGGCACGTTTCGTGTGTTGGGGGTGGAAGCTAGAACTGTGGAGGTAGTTGCGTCTGTCAATGGGTTTCCTGTATATTGAGGTGTGACGCATATCATCCCTGATGTATACTGTGGTGTCTAGGAAGTTGACGTGTGTGTTTGAGTATTCCATTTTTAGTTTGAGTGATGGATGAAAAGTGTTGATCAATGAGTAAAATTGTTTTAGGTATTCTTCACCTTCTGTCCATATGATGAAAATATCATCAATATAGCGATAGTATCTGTATAGTTTTGGTTCCATGCTGTTCAGGAATTTTTCCTCCAGGTCAGCCATAAATAGGCATATTGGGGTGCCATTTTACTTCCCATCGCAGTACCCATGCATTGAAGATAGATGTCTATATTGAAGGCAAAGTAGTTGTGTGTGAGTATGACTTCACTGAGCTGTGTAACATCCTCAGCCCTGTAATTGTGGTTTGGTGAGGATGAGAAGGATCTGTGACATGCAGCTAATCCATCCTTGTGAGGGATATTACTATACAGGAATACTACATCCATAGTCACTAGAAGTGTATTAGATGGTAATTAAGTGTTCTTGCGTGGCAAGACCACTTTGGTGTTATCTCACATATATATTCTTATTATAGCCAAATTTACCACCCTAACTCCTCCCACAGTTTTTACACTACATAGACAGTAATATACCGAAACGTGAGGATTGTTCCCGATTGGTGTGCTATTACTTTGTGGAATATTTTGCCGAATGGTTCACAAAATATCGGCATTTTTGTGGTGAAATTTGTCCCATAGGAATGAATGGCGGAATGTTCAAAACTAGAGTGGGAGCTGACAAAAGCTAGAGTGTGAGCTGAAAAATCAGGACATGATTTCTAAACTGCCATCACTCCCTCATTTTCAAGCCCACCTACACAAATCTTATATCAAAACATTCAGCTATCCCTGCTGCAACTAAAAATGTCCACGGCTAAGCCATAGTCTGATAGTTTTCACAATATGACCAATTGTTTACAACTCACGCCTCCCATTGACATTTATTGAAACTGCACTCTACCCACCTCAAATTTGAGAGGCAATTTCTAAACTGCGACTGTGCCTTCATTTTTAATATTTCAGAGACATACTTTGCATCAAAATGTAGGTCTGGGTATTGTGATTCTCACAATATAAAGCTCTTCACTGTAGGATTTATAATTTTTACACTACAATCGTTTGAAGATGGCAACCGCCAGTGAAATGAGCAAGTTGGAGCAGTTTGTTTTTAACCGCTCTTCTCTGCCCTTGCTGTAGAGCAGTGTTTCTCAACTCCAGTCCTCATGGACCCCCAACAGGTCATGTTTTCAAGATTTCCATTATTTTGCACAGGTGATTTGATCAGTTTCACTGCCTTAGTAATTACCACAGCTGTTTCATCTGAGGGAAATCCTGAAAACATGACCTGTTGGGGGTCCATGAGGACTGGAGTTGAGAAACACTGCTGTAGAGTGAGTTGCCATAGCAACCCAGGTGTGTGATCAGGCAGCAGAGTGATAAGCCACTCCACTCACTCCAGTTGTAGACTACTGGTGGAGGCAAGAACATGTCACACAATTTCCCCAGAAATTGTAGCTTTTCTAGTTGCTGTATGTTGTTGATCTTGTTTAGAAAGTCAGTTGTGTCTTGCAGGAAGCTAGCAGTATTCTTGACTAACTGGATTTCCTGGCTTGTGGATTTTGGGCAGCATGTAGAAGTCCCCGATTTCTGGATGATCCGGAATCAAATTTATAAGTTCTGAATGTAGGTGAGTGGGAAGTGTTTTAATGAGACCTTTTAATTGCTTTGCAAAGTCCTGGGTCGAATCATAATCCAGTTTCTTATAGTAGATGGTATTTTCCAGCTGCCTCTGGCCTTCTTGTATTTGTTTATATTCATCACAACTGCTCCCCCTTTATCCTCTGGTTTGATGGTGCTGGCCTGATTATTGCGCAAATCGTGTGTAGCCCTTCGTTCTAGTGGTGAAAGATTGCACAGAATTTTCTTTTGCTGGGTGGATATCAGGGAAGTAGCAATCTGAAACTGTCAATATAGGTGTCCAGTTTGGGGGTTGCGTCCTTGTGGAGGTGTGAAGCAGCTGTTCTTTTTCTTTGTGTAGCACTCCATTGTCCTGGGATTCCTTTCATTGCTGTGGAAATATTCTTTGAGCCTTAGTCTCCTGAAGAATTCCTCCATATCTGACAATTGTAAATGATCCAATTTGATGGTTGGGCAGAATGTAAGGCCTTTGGAGAGGATGGTTAATTCTGGTTCAGAAAATTTATGATTTGACAAGTTGATGATTCTAAGTTCCTCTGTTATATCCACATTTTCAGTCAGGTCAGCACTTACACAAGGGATACCTTGGGATTCCAGATTAGATTCCAGGTCACCGATAGTAGGATGTATAGCTGTTGAGTTGCTTTTATGTTTAGGTTGTATCCAAAAAGTCTGCTCTTGGTGTAGCTACAGCAATTACCATCTAATACACTTCTAGTGACTATGTATGTAGTATTCCTGTATAGTAATATCCCTCACAAAGGATAGATTAGCTGCATGTCACAGATCCTTATCATCCTCACCAAACCATAAATACACGGCTGAGGATGTTACACAGCTCATTGAATACATACTTACACACAACTACTTTGCCTTCAATAAAGACATCTATCTTCAATGTATGGGTACTGCGATGGGCAGTAAAATGGCACCCCAACATGCCAATTTATTTATGGCTGACCTGGAGGAAAAATTCCTGAACAGCATGGAACAAAAACCATACAGATACTATCGCTATATTGATATTTTCATCATATGGACAGAAGGTGAAGAATACCTAAAACAATTTTACTCATTGATCAACACTTTTCATCCATCATCAAACTAAAAATGGAATACTCAAACACACACGTCAACTTCCTAGACACCACAGTATACATCAGGGATGATACGCTTCACACCTCAATATACAGGAAACCCACTGACAGATGCAACTACCTCCACAGTTCTAGCTTCCACCCTCAACACACAAAACGTGCCATCATACACAGTCAGGCCATTAGATACCACCGAATATGTTCTGACCCAAGAGACAGAGATACACATCTCGGGACACCAGCAGACTCCTTCCATAAGAAAGGTTACAAGGACAAAACTATCAACAATAGCATAAACACAGCCTTGAGAACCCGAAGGGAATATCTACTTCAGTACAAAGAGAAAAAAAACAACCGTGTACCTTTAGTAACCACATACAACCCGGCACTAGAAGGAATAGGAAAAATAATCAAAGATTTACAACCCCCATCATAACAGAGGATGGAACTCTGAAAGAAATATTCCAGCAACCACCAATACTGGCCTTCAGACAACCCCCCAACCTCAGAAATAGACTAATCAGTAGGAAACTTCCTTCTGATGATGATGTCACAAATAATGGAAGCAAACCCATCAAAATACACTGCTTGTTTCTGCTCTTCTATGATTACCACAGTCTAAGCCTCAGTGTCCAGCAATGTGGAGTTTCTTCTAGTAACCCTTCTACTAAAAAAACATTTCATGTACTAGTAGGAAGGCTCAGTGATACATAACAAAAGCCAAGCTTATATATGGCACGCCTCAATATTCAGGACACAAATGATGTTTTTATCCAGAGTACCTGTAGTTACTTCTCTTACAAAATACAGCCATACTTGCAAAATATTTAAACCCAGGTAAGACTCCTACCACCCAGTTAGCAACAACCAGGAGAAATTTATAAAACACATTTCTCCCCAGAAAAGTCTCCTTAAGTTTCAGCAGCACAATGCGGTGACAATCAATGCTTCTCATGTGTTCTACAAAAGATAGACATTAAATCGAAAAAAAAAAAAACAAAATTTCACACATAATGAAGTCCAAGAGGCCAGATACAACATGTAATGATTGCCACCTTTTTGTTTTATTAAATGCCCATAAAGGAGTCTTTAAAACTAAAAAAGTGTTTTGAAATATAGTTTCAGTATGAATTCTTCCAATAAAGAACTTAAAAACAGCTATACAAACACAAACAAGATTTTGTTATTTTTACTTAAAATTTAGATATTAACCACTATTGCCGCGAAACTGAAAAATTCTTCTTGAAATGAAGAAAAAAATATATACACATAAGATAGCATCCACAGGATGTCATTTGTCATTGTTATGCTGTTCTTTTCCAAGCTCTATCTGTTCTGCATCATCGCCAGAATCAGAATCACTGTCCAGTAAGTGATCCGCTTCATCCAGAGTAAAGGAAACTTCTGTTGGGGCCTCACCGGTTTCATCAATAGGCACTGCTCCTTTACGTTGAGGTAAAACACTGAAGAATGCTTCCTTCCAATCTTTCTTCTCCAGATATGCAAGTATGATCTCAAATACTACAATAAAAATACATTGTTAAGCAAAAACAAAAAAAAAAGGTACATTTACAGGCAATTACTAGCAGAATATTCAGGACAAGTTTATCAGCGATAGTGAGATTCCAAATACATTTATCAGAATAAAATGCATCTCTTTAGACAAACTGATACAGTACGTTTATGGTACTGTGCAAAATGTACAAAAGGCCACCAGAGAAAGTTATTTTTAATGGCCAGTAAGTAAATATTTGTTCAGATAAGAGCAGTATTTAGGCCCTTTAAATCAGCAAGAGATGGTGCTCTAAAAGAGCTGTGGTGCCCCAGGCCAGCAGGAGGAGACATCGAATGTGCAGCACTGAAACTGGCTGCATAGTGCTGATATCATTGGGAGCCCATCCTATTGGCTATTGATCATCTGCAGTTGACCATTAGCTGTCCATGAGAGCTCAGTCAAAATTATTAGGGTGCAAATGAAGCATGCCCTAGAAAAAAAAAAAAAAAAGAAGAAAAAAAAAAAAAAAAAAAAAAAGACAAGCATATATGTAGAGGCTAAGGGGGTTAAGGCCCACCCACCCCGCCCTAGCATATTTTTGTATAGTTGTCATAAAAGGGTTAATGTTAGAATATTCTTACATTAAGAACCATACAGGAATATTTTGTATTTCCAAAAGAAATCAATATTTAGTATGGCCTCTATTGGAAATAATTCACTATGGCACAGTGCTATGTAGCATGTTAGAACATAAGTCACCACCATCTCTTAGATTGTAAGCTCCAAGGAGCAGGGCCCTCCTAACCCTCTTGTATTGAACTGTATTGTCTCCCGTTACATTGTAAGGCGCTGAGCAAAATGTTGGCGCTATATAAATCCTGTATAATAATAAATGTTTTACAGAAGACAGGTATCACTTTTTATCAATTAATTCTAGCATGTAGCGTGGGGTTCTTAAATGTGCCTCTACCTTGTGACTGCAATTATCCCCATACAGAAAAGATTAGCATGGCCCCTGTGCAAGGATGACCCACAATCATCCCCATCCCCTGACTTGTAAGCACTGGATTAAGTTCTGGATTAAGTGTTTGTGCTTTCATAGAAATTAAAGCAGGCCATACACCAAGATATCGCTCCTTCAGCTGCGCAGGCAGAATAACAGAAATCAACTGAATCCAACCTATAGAGAATAAGCAAAGCATGCTCCCCGGCACCCTTCAGATTTCTGATAAAAAGATGTCAGGTGAAAGGGTGCCGAGAGGGCCAACCAGGATGAATTTCGACCAGGTCATCAGGAACTGTCTGAAATTTGTCCACGTATGGCCAGCTTTAAACTTTTGTAACATATTAAGGCCTCTTTCACACCGTACGTGCAGAAAAACGCACGTGCAGATTTCACTTGCAGAGACATCAGTTTACATGCGTGCTTCAATTCGTTTTATACAAGTTACAGATTCCTGCGCAGAAAAAAAATCTGCACACGATACCAGTGTTGTGGTGTGAATGTGCACATAAAAAACAATTTAATTTGTTGTGCCGTTGCAGAACGCATGCAGAAAAACTGATGTCTCTGCACCATGGGTGCGTTGAGACAAACTTAAAAACTTCTATGTGACAGCTTAGAAGAGTAAAGTGGTTGTAAACCCTCACATATACCCAGTGAAGTAATTGGCCTTTTGTGATACACACATTAAACAAATCCTCCTACATAAGTTGTACCTGTTTATCTGATGTATCTTGTGCTCTACATCCAAAGTGCTGCATTTTAAAGCTTTTCTGAGAGCAGAAAGCTGAAGTTACACTGCAGTGCACACCGAGGAGATTTTTGAGAGGTGACTGGAGGAAAGAGGAGACCCACCTCCACACAGGAACAGAGTTGAGGCTGTCAATCTGCTGGAGGTCCCTCGCCTATCACCATTTTTCTCTTGGTGTCAAAAAAAACTTGTCAAAAAGTTCCCTCCCAAAGAGTGGACTGAACAAACAGAACTCGTTTTATATGCAGAGCAATGTCTCTTTGAGGAATACAGGAGGTCCTTCACATGTAGACAGTTTCTTAGGTCTCCCATTGTGTTTTTTTTCTTCCACTAAATCTCTAACACCACATCATGAAAATCCAAGTTTAAATCGGGTTGCTGGTCACTGACTACAACACTGTTTTGTTTAAAACTACTATTTTAGGTCAGCTTAACCTTTTCAAATATCACAGTACAGCAATTCTGTTACCAAGCATCCAGCAAATTTTGTTTGGCTAATCAATATCATGCAATGTAAATGTGCCAAAGTAAGCAAGCAGGTGCTGACATTTTACAAATGCACAGGATTACTTTAGCCCTCTAAGGAGATTTATTTTTTTTTATTATTTTTTTTTTTACAGTATATACTTACTAACAAGACAAATGGCTTTAAACGTTTCCTTTGGTGGCCTAAGACATTTAAATAGTACTGTGAGGTGGATTTAAAAATTCACTTCCATAGTTTTTTTATTCTGTCATCCTTAATGAGGACAATTTACCTTCACCTCCTGTCCCAGGTACAAGGAGGATAACAACTGATGGAACATCTCTTTGAGAACAAATAAATATTTTGGCTGGAGTTGGGCTTTAATATTATGAAATATTTGTTGACTGCACTTTCAAAAATAGATTCCTCTAGATTTGTACCTATGACTGTTAAATAGATAACTTACCGTGATTCACAGCTAAGACTTTGCGACTATTCATCTTCACAAAACTCCCAAGAGGAAGTTGAGCATGGCGGATACCAAGATCCAGAGCTTGCTTGTATGTAATGCCCTGTAATGAAAATTTCAAAACTTAAAGTCATGACCGATGATTAATAGCAATGTAAATGTATCAAGAACAGTTAAAGAGAACTGGAAAAAAAGGCGCTGTGGAAAATGCTCTCAGACAAGCACCTTAGTGGAGGTGCATCTTTTGGGTGAGATAAAGTAGCAAGTATAATAAAATTAACCAGCCTGAAGTGGACAGTGTGATTCCAATGGACGGCCCGTCCGCTCTGAGGGGAGCTGAGATCAAAGAATGCTCCTGTCGACTTCAAATCACGTGGTGTCAGCGTACCGGCGTCCTGGGTGGTGTCACCATGGCAAACGAAGGCAGTGTCCGGCGTTGGCTTCAGCTGGGAGCATATGTGGGGTTACCAAGACGACATGTTTCGCGCAGTTGCGCTTTGTCAAGTCACTGGTAACCATGGCCGGCGGCCATTATATAGAAGACCATTAAAGGGAAGGCTGGCTGAGTGTAATTAGCAGGGGATGGGGTGTCAATCAGAGCGGACGGCTCGTCCTGAAGCAATGCTGAATACAAATTTAAAGGTACAGATTGCAAGTTATAAAAAATGATATGTATAAAAACAATAGCATTGGAAAGCATGATATACTTTCATCTTTTTTTTTTTTTTTTTTTGTTATTGTATTACCTTTATTTCACTAAAGATGAAAGTATATCATGCTTTCCAATGCTATTGTTTTTATACATATCATTTTTGATAACTTGCAATCTGTACCTTTAAATTTGTATTCAGCATTGCTTCAGGACGAGCCGTCCGCTCTGATTGACACCCCATCCCCTGCTAATTACACTCAGCCAGCCTTCCCTTTAATGGTCTTCTATATAATGGCCGCCGGCCATGGTTACCAGTGACTTGACAAAGCGCAACTGCGCGAAACATGTCGTCTTGGTAACCCCACATATGCTCCCAGCTGAAGCCAACGCCGGACACTGCCTTCGTTTGCCATGGTGACACCACCCAGGACGCCGGTACGCTGACACCACGTGATTTGAAGTCGACAGGAGCATTCTTTGATCTCAGCTCCCCTCAGAGCGGACGGGCCGTCCATTGGAATCACACTGTCCACTTCAGGCTGGTTAATTTTATTATACTTGCTACTTTATCTCACCCAATAAAGATGCACCTCCACTAAGGTGCTTGTCTGAGAGCATTTTCCACAGCGCCTTTTTTTCCAGTTCTCTTTATCATGCATATGATTAACAAGGCAGCAGTGGTGAGCTCATGATTAACTGTTCACATGTTTCCACCTGGAGTGGCCTCTCTGCGCTCATTTGTATGAGTTTTCCAAGAACAGTTAAAGCATATTAAAGTCTGCTTAAAGCAGCCACGTCTTCAACTTTTGGCACATGGATGCTCCCTAGTTGCAGCAGGTATTCCACACTTCTCTGCATATCTGCTCCTCCTGCTAGCACATATGTCACTACAGGACATACATGCTGGAGGGAGAACATACACGGAGTGGAGCAAGTACTGTGTTGGACTCACCCAAAATATGGAACACCTGCAGCCAAGGAGCAGCAAAATGTCAGTTTGAGTACATGGAACACTGGAAGGTAGGTTTAACTGCTCTTCCCTTACTGGGTTTTACTAGTTTTCAAGTGACCCTGTGGTGGAAGATGGAAGCTGAATTTAGATTTAAGCATGCTGCTTAAAATTAGGGCTGATTTTGATGCTCTTCCTACTACCATTTACAAAACCGGATAAAATACCTGTGTGCTTATGCTTCAAACACACACTGATTGCTAACCTGCCGAAGCTTCAGCGAGTATACCCGCTAGCAAGAACAATGTCATCATTATCTGCACACAAATCTAGTTAAGGTATAAAGTTGTGCAAGCTTCCCAAAATAACAATCTTCTGTAATTTCACTAAACTTGGGGAAAAAAAAAAAAAAAACACATGCAGCCACATCTAAGAACTGGTAATGCACTGCTCAGAAAAATGAAAGGAACACTTTGAAAACACATCAGATCTCAATGGGGAAAAATATCATGCTGGACATTTATACGGAGATGGACTGGGTAATGTGTGAGGAATATAAGGATGTCCCATCGTTTGATGGAAATGAAAATTATCAACCTACAGAGGACTGAATTCAAAGTGAAAACATTATGCAACAGGCTAGTCCATTTTGTTGAAATTTCATTGCAGCAACTCAAAAATGGTATTCAGTAGTTTTTATGGCCCCCACGTGCTTGCATGTATGCCTGACGTTGGTGCATACTCCTAATGAGATGACAGATGGCGTCCTGGGGTATTTCTTCCCAGATCTGGACCAGGGCATCACAGAGTTCCTGTATAGTCTAAGGTGCAACCTGGTGGCGTCGGATGGACCGAAACATGATATCCCCGAGGTGTTCTATTGGATTTAGCTCAAGCGAGCGTGGGGACCACTCAACGGTATCAATTCCTTCATCCTGCAGGAACTGCCTGCATACTCTCGCCACACGAGGCCAGGCATTGTTGTACACCAGGATGCACTGCACCAGAGTAGGGTCTGACAATGGGTCCTAGGATTTCATCCCAATATCTAATGGCAGTCAGGGTGCCATTGTCTAGCCTGGAGAGGTCTATGCGTCTCTCCATGGATTTGCCTCCCCAGACCATCACTGACCTACCACCAAAACGGTCATGCTGAACTATGCATAACATTCTCCATGGCTTCTCCAGACCCTTTCACGTCTGTCACATGTGCTCAGGGTGAGCCTGCTCTCATCTGTGAAAAGCATAGGGCACCAGTGGTGGACCTGCCAATTCTGGTGTTCAATGGCAAATGTTAATTGAGCTCTATGATGCTGGGCAGTGAGCACAGGGCCCATTGTGGACGTCGGGCCCTCCAGCCACCCTCATGATGTCTGTTTCTGATTGTTTGGTCAGAGACCTTCACACCAGTGGCCTGCTGGAGGTCATTCTGTAGGGCTCTGGAAGTGCTCACCCTATTCCTCCTTGCACAAAGCAGCAGATACTGGATGGGTTAAGGACCTTCTATGGCCCTCTCCAGCTCTCCTAGAGTAACTGCCTGTCTCCTGGAATCTCCTCCTCGCTCTTGAGACTGTGCTAGGAGACACAGCAAACCTTCTGGTGATGGCACATATTGATGTGCCGTCATGGAGGAGTTGGGCTGCCTGTGCAACCTCTGTAGGGTCCAGGTATTGCCACATTACCAGTAATGACACTGACCCTAGCCAAATGCAAAACTAGTGAAAAAACAGTCAGAAAAGATGGAGTAGGGTAAAAAAATGTCAGTGGTCTCCACCTGTAAAACCATTCCTGTTTTTTTTTTTTTTGGGGGGGGGGGGTTCTCATTGTTGCCCATCTAGTGCACCTGTTAATTTCATTAACTCCAAATCAGCTGAAACTGATTAACAACCCCCTCTGCTACTTGACTGACAATATCAATATCCCAGGAGTTTAACTGACTTGATGCTATACTGAAAAGTCAGTTAAAGTCAGTTATATGAAAAGTGTTCCTTTAATATTTTTGAGCAGTGTATATACACCGAACAGCCATAACATTATGACCACCCACCGTAAACTGTTGAAGCATGCACTCCACTAGGTCTCTGAAGACTTGCTGCGGTATCTGGCACCAACCTGTCCATAGGAGAGCCTTTAGATCCTGTAAGTTGCGAGGTGGGGCCTCAATAAAACAGACTTGTTTTCCAGCACATCCCACAGATGCTTAGTTGGATTGAGATCTGGAGAATTTGGGGGCAAAGTCTACACCTCAAACTCACTGTTGTGCTCCTAAAACCATTCTTGAATTCATCAGACCTGGCCACCTTCTTCACATGCTCTGTGGTCCAGTTCTGATGCTCACATGCCCACTCTAGGCGCTATTGTCTGGACACAGGTCATCATGGGCAGCCTGACCAGTTTTGCAGCTGCACAGTCCCATACGCACCAAACTGTGATGTATTCTGATGCCTATCTGAACCAGCATGAACTTCTTAATCAATCTGAGCTACAGTAGCTCTCTTATTGGATGGATCTGACTACACAGGCCAGCCTTCACTCCTCATGTACATCAATGCGTCTTGGCCACCCATAATCTTGTCACCGGTCGCCCAGTTTTCCTTCCTTGGACCACTTTGGTAAGTCCTGACTACTGCAGACTGGGAACATTCTACAAGAGCTGTATTTTTAGAGTTGCTATAATCCATCCCGCCCAGCCATTACAATTTGGGCCTTGTCAAAGTCACTCAAATCCTTACACTTGCCCATTCTTTCTGTGTTCAACAGATCAACTTCAGAGACAACAAGGGACTTGCTGCATAATATATCCCACTCACTTTCAAATGCCATTGTAATTCACTTTGCCTGTCAGTGGTCATAATGTTATGGCTGATCAGTGTACTACATTTTGGGGTTTTGTATATACTTTAAATAGGTACATACGGCTGAGAGGTAATGGTGAACACATTGTTCTGAGGATGTTAAATAATGAAATGCATTAGCTTTTCTCTGCTGCAAGGAATGTAGCTAAAACCGTTAACTGGTTATAGTTAAAGTAAATCTGAACTGACCTAAAAAGGTAACAGTAGTAAAGTGCAGGTATCTTTTAGTGCCTACAAGCAAGGTGTTTTTTTAGATTGATCTTTGTCCCAAAGGGGTTCCACAACAATACATGGAGGGATCAGACTAAAACAAATACTTGTTGGTACCACACGTTGCCTTCACTGTTACATTGGGCATGTTTTAGGCCAGCTCAAATTAAGGTTCACATATGAGGAGATATTCTCATCATATAACACCTTTCACACCATGCAGTGCATCGTCATGCTATGTACATAGGGCAGGCCATTCATCTCAATGGGCTGCCCTAGGCGCAGCAAATTTGGCACTATGAGTCCCATTTGCAGTAAAAAAATAAGCCATGGTTCCAACTATTCCCTACTCAATTTTAAGCTAAGAAAATAATTTGTTGGCTTAGCACACAGTTACATTTTTTCTGATCCTGTATTTGATTAAATCAATATAGTACCCATAACCGTGTTGTATGAATAGATCATTTTCAAGTGTAATTCAGAACCCTTACACGTATAACCCTTAGAAATTGCACCAACCAAAAGCTGGTGATACTGGACTTCCAACATTCTGCACATTTTTTTTCCCCTTTACCTTGTGGTGATTGTGATCAACAAGACCACCGATAATGTAAGCTTTGGTCTCATCTAGTTCACGGAGTACTTCAGGAGAATCAGATGTGAGGTAAACAAGGTCTTCAGACTTCATGAGATCTTTATAATGCTCAGAATTGATGTGTATATCCTATAGGGAAAATTATAGATTGTATTCAAGAACTAGAGAGTGAAAATCACCAGTAAGCATGCAGATTATGTGCCATTAGCAATTTTTTTTGTGATTAATGGCACAACAAGCCAAGCGATTAGGATAAAGGGTTTTTTTTCTTAAAGTGGAACTCCAGCGAAAGATGAATTTTTCTAATGTATGGTTACAAAGGGACAGGGGCAGAACATGTCAGATTTTTATAGCCAATTCTTGGAAGTCTTCCTCACTTCCAGTCAAAAAATAAAAGGAAAATCTTTTCAAAAAAGGGACAGACTACAATTAGAGCATGTTTATTAGTATAGTGGAGCATGGTTAGAACTACTGTCAGTTTTGTTGCTGTCCATTTTCACTGGATCTTGACTTTCATGGAAAGGAGATGGCATTACCTGGAACAGACTTAATTTCATATTGCATATTTAAATCTTTATACATTTTTTTTTTTATTCCAATAGTGTATCTATATAAAAAAAAAAAAATAGTGTAGCTTCTTGCTTTATAATGCACATTTCTGCATTTAACCTGCAGCTTTTAAACCTATTATACTACATAAATGTCTTATAGTAGGTGACTGTAGAAGCCTGTGTGCACCTTTACTTTCAGTTACAAAAGTTTGCTGAATGTCCTGGGAACCCACAAGCTCAAGATGTGCTCTACACTCAGACTACCCAGCTAGATATTTTGACATCTACCCCCCAATGCTTACGGAATAGATAGGAGACAGTTCCTGCTTTGTATACAGCCTCTCTTTTTAGGTCCATCTTTTACACGGCTTTGAAAGACCACCAAGCCCTAGATTTCTGACAGGGAGGACTGTGTACATAGTAAAATCAGCCTCTCTGTCTGACACCATACTAGATCTTGATATGATTGAAAAACTCAATCCTGTATTTAGAAAATACTATATAATGGATGTCCAAGGTATATCAACATCAAAAGTCTGTAGTGCTACAATACAAGCACTAATGATTCCTGCACTCACCTTTCTGTGTTTTCTCAAAAACCCCAGTGCCCGAAAACACAGCAGTCTAACATGTAAATTTTACCACTTCCCATGTGTCAATAGGAGGGATGACATCAAGTTTGGCCCTAACATTTCTTCAGACTGAACCTTGAAGGAACCTGTCACTTCCACCTATTCAACTGTGGTCAGGGCATTCCGCGCCCAGCAGCTGCATCTGCACAGAATAATGGGCATGCCCATGAAATTATTGAGCTAATATGGCCGTATCAGATCAAAGATGTCACAAATATCCCCACCAATTGGGGGAATTGAGTCTACAGTGTGGGGAATGCCCTGACAGCAGTTGATTGGGTAGCAGTGAAGCTTCCTTCCGGGTTTGGTGCAAACCCATGTTCAGACCAAAACCATACTCATCTCTAGTCAAGAGCTAGCTGGCACCTTCCTAATGACCAATAGGACTACATTTCATAGTGAAAGACCAATTTGAAGGTGAAAACCTTGACACTATCATGCAGAAAATTCCATCTGTGGTAAATACAAAATAGTATGTGCAGGCACACCTAGGTGTCAGCATTGTGGTACTGCAACCTTTCTATAACTATTAAAAAGGTATGTACACATTTATATCAAAGTATGTGCAAGCTCCTGCAATAATACAGTTAGCTAAAATAACATAACACAGTACACCACTGGTGACAAGTTCACTTAAAGCATCAAATATATACATCTGAAATCCAAATTTAAAAGTACCAAACATACTAGGATTTCCTGCTCAGTCATGTCACACGTACTCAATCATGTCAAAAGGAGCAGGATTAAAAAACTAGGTAAAAAAAAATTTTAAACAAAGCCTTAACAAAATACACAGCAATCTTTTATGCGAGATTACCTTCCAGTTGATCCAACCTTTGTCATATTCATCCATGTTGCTTTTCAGTTGTCCATCATGGCTGGTTAGATAAAACTAGAAATAATATAAGATGAACGGGCATAAACATTTCAAAGGGGTCTTGCAAATAGCAAAAGTTTTTTTTTTTTTTTTTTTTTTTTTTTTATAAATTCCCTTAATGTGGGTGTGTGATATACACACACTCCTGGTGGCTGCAGCCACGACAGACGGACCTGGGAGTTAAAGTAGAAGTTAACCTTTTGACAGGTAAAAAAAAAAAAAAAATAAAAAAATGTGCATTAATGATTTCTAGTTGCAGGAGCCTGTAAACCATTGCATCAGCGATCAGAAGATTGCTAGTGCCATGCAAGTCTCATGCATAACTGTCAGTATATCTGCTTGCCCATATGGGATGTACGGGCAAGAAGATACACTGACAGGAAGAATCAATGAACTACCACAGCACTGTGGTAGTATGAGAACTACAAGCCAACAGGCACTAAGGCTGTCAGGACTTGTAGTTCATTCATTCACAGAACTCTGTGAATGAATGACGCAGACGAGTGGGGGGAGAGCCCAGCACAGATGCACTCTATTCAAAAAGTGACAGTTTGCATGGGGAACTTCTCCCCGTACTGCTGTCATGGGGGGGAATGGGCAGTGCCTATTTCCAAAGGTGAACTTATCCTTTAACTGACTCTAGCTAAGAGGTAGGGAACATCTTATTCTTGCCTGAATCTCAATTACTGGAAGAGACATTTTTAACTTTAAGGCAAAAATGATAAGAGCATGTAATTTGCTTTACCAAATAATTTTTTAAGTTAGAACTTCTAGCCAACATCTCTGTAGGTTTTCTGTTTTAAAGAAATCAGATTGTTATCTGATGTAGAATATGGCTAATAACAACATGAAATTGTAAACAAATACAATAATTTACCTGAACAGGGTGTATTGCTCTGCGGTTTTCTGAATAACACCTTCTAATTTGCTTGTTTAACTTCTTCACATCCTAAATAAGAAGACATTAGTAAAACGGCAATCTCATAAAAAATTAGGATTAAACAAAAAAGGAAGGCGGAGAGAATAGCTTACTCGTAATAACATTAAATGATCAAAGCTGCAGTCTATTATAAGACGTAATGCACTGGGATGGATCTCACTTCGCACTTTTTTACAGGCAATGCCCTCCACATTTTGTCCTAGCTGAGCCTGCCGTTCAAGTTTCCTTTTCTGCCTTTTCTCTTTCCTCTTCTGCCTGGAAACATAAAAAGGACATTTAAGATTACCAAAAGCTAGACTTCAGCAACCATTACCGACAAACTAGACTAACGCAACCATTTTTTTAACCAATGTGATAGACACAGTAGCACTGGAAAGATAGAAGGGTGAAATATTATTCCTGAGCATTGCTTAAGATAAGGCTATACACCTGTCAAAAAGTGCCATCTTTCATCTGTTGTAAAACTTCTTATGTAAAACAACAGATAAAACTTTTAAAATTAAAAGCTGCACTGTAGAGAAATTGTTGCATGAGAAATTGTTGCATGACAAGTTGTAGAGAAATTGTTGCAAAGACACACGTTAAATTATCTCTAAGAACAAAAATATAATATATTGCATCTTACAAGAACGGAGATGTGGTGGTTGCATTTACTTTATTGTTCAGGCAGTCTTCCATTTATTTTTTACCAGATAACACAGTTCTTGTCTTGCGGTGACAACACTCACCCACCACTCCTCTAAGGAGGAGCAGCACAATCACCCCAAGCTATTATCTTGATTTTGACTACAAACACTTTCCCTTTCTCATCTTCATAACACAGGAGTAGGTGTTCTGTAGTTCACTGAAGAGAAATGGAAGGTTGATCAGGTTCAAGCTTTCAGTTCAGTGTACAGGAAGCTACAAGGACCCTGCATTTCTGCAAATTAACAGATATTTTTCTGCACTTGCTAATCCAGTCACTACAGCTTTAAACTAGCACGTTGGAACATATTTTATTCTTCGGTTTAGATTTTACATATATTACCTGGCAAAGAAATTCTGGAATTCTATTCATCCACTCTTGTCACCCTGAAAAACAGCTAAGCCATTCCCTTAGACTTTGTAGGCTACACTACAATTAAGTAATACAGATTGTAATACAGACACAAGCCCATGACTGGACAAAACAGTAGCAGCAGCAGCTGGTGAGGTCATTCTGCCCTCTCTTGATCTTCCTAGAATCACCCAGAGATAATACAGTATTGTGCAATACAGCACAAGGTAAAAGCAGCTGGCTGCTCTTCATAATCTGGCCTGGAGTGACTGGTGCCTCAGAGCCTACAACAGTATCAGCTGTTGAGGGAGAAAATGTGTGGCTTGCTTTGGGATTGGTGCAATTGCAGACTGTTCCATGAGTGCATGGCAGGAGAAGAATCCAAGCATCTTCAGGAGCAGCAGCAGACACCGCAGCACCGGTTGGGTGAGGGAAGGAGCTGCTCCATGTGTTAGCCCAGGATGATAATGTGTGCCATGACTGCACCCCCTCCTTCACTCTCAGCTGCTACCTCTGGTCCTGGGGGCACCAGCTGCTTCCTGGATGGTACAAACCTGCACAGCTCTGCAGTCTGGCTGCTCTTAGAGAAGGACATGTCTGAACACTACCTGCATATCTACATCGATGCAGTGAATGACAGATTAGCAAGCACGACAAACTGCTGATATCCTGCCACTGGAAAAAAGTGAGCAGCAACTGGAATTCCCACCCCTATTTATCATAAAGTGGGTAAAATATAACTGAACAGGTTTCTCTTCCTTAGACCAGTCAGCCAGCAGATATCCAGTGCAGGCACATATATGAGAATGTTTCCCAATCCAGCTCACCTCCTTGTCATCTGATGCCTATAGCTACTTCTGGATAGTATTCGCTCCCATGTATCATGATAAATAAAAAGCAGGGACTCCTTTGTATTCTTAACTAAAGAGAACCCATCTCCTTGCAAAGAAAGTCTTTAAAAAGAGAAGTATGGCTAAAGCTTTTTTGGTCATACTTCTCTTCTAGATCACAAAAGTACACTTAACTTTTGCAGTTCTGTGACCCAGAATCATCCAGCAAAGGGCTAAAGTCTGCTGTGGGTCGACAGAGCTGCTCTAGGCTCTGGAAGGATCCTTACCATTGTCAAGATCCATCCAGCTGCACCTGCCCCCTCTCCAGCCCGGCGCTCTAGTAAGCACTGAAGGGACAGAGCGGAAAGCGGTCACTGACAGTCATTGTTTCTCTGCTCAAAGCTGACTGAGGACTTAGCGATCAGTGGTCATGTGTTCACTCACTTTCTGGGCTTAGACCCAGCACGGAACAGCAGCAGCGTCACAATGAGAAGTTTGACTGCTGGGGGGGGGGGGGGGTGACAGCGTTTATCTGATTACAATAAACCACTCAAGTTGCATTGGTTTCCAGTCATGATTTCTAAAATGTACCCTTGGGTTTAGTTGTGGCCAGTTATATTGTAAAATACCATTTTTTTAAAAACTAGATTGGGTTTTTGCCACATTGTTGCTGTGGTCACTACCATTGCTGTCTTTATTCTGAAATGCAAGAGATGTTCCTTCACCTCCTGTCCCATAGCCAAAACAGGAAGTGAGGGGAAATCTCTGCAAATTAGGGAAATTCCTTGGAGACCCCCAAGTCACCAGAACTAGTGTCCCCATTGTAAAATTTCCCCTGTATTACTTTTCTGGGGAGAACCCAAATTAGGGATTTTCTTTTACTTTGACTTTCAAGGATAATGCTGATGCTCCCTAACAGGGGCAGACAGCAATAAGAACTGACAGGTGTTCTAGGTTGGCCACAGGAGTGCACTTACGTTTGCACTCCGTGGGACCCATAATCAACTGACAGAAGGCTAAAGTCTGCTGTGCGTTAACATAACAGAGCTGCTCCAGGCTCTGGAAGGATCCTGACCATATTGTCAGGATTCATCCAGCTGCCTGAATGACAGCTGCCTCTGGCTTTTAGAGTGCAGCTTTAGTGCCTGCCCCTTCTACAGTGAGCATTGGGGGGACAGAGCGGAGAGCAGTCACTGACAGTCACTCAGAGCTGAATGAGGGCTTAGGGCCAGCTGCAGCATCACACTGATGATGCAGCAAGCAACTGAGCATGTTTGTTTGCGTTTTTTTTTTTTTTTTAATAACCTCAAACCTATCCTTTAAAGTCCACGACCTGATTTTCACAACTTCTCTGCTGCCCCTTCTTATGTCACACCCACCACATACCCAGTGCTTCTGGTTATGAAGGGGAATGTGACCTCCCCTTATCATGCAGCATTCGGACCGAACAGTGAATTGCTAGGCACAAACACTGCCACATGACAAGGGGACTGGCATCAGGTGTTTTGAATTGACTAATGGAGGAAGGAGTAGCAAGAGAGCACGGTCATATCACTGGGTCAGCCTAAATGGGCAAGATGACAGAGCCTCTTTTACGACTTGCTTATACTAGTGTTGCCCTCTGAAAATTGATAAGCAGTGGATTGCATATCACGGGGTGAGGAGACACCTTCTCACAGCCTGCATAGCTGTCAAAATCCCACACCACTACAACCACATACATTGGAGGCGGTTGTGGTACAGGCATATTCACTTGAATCGGTCAAATTTAGTGGGCTGTCCTGCCAGCTGAACGTGGCAGAGGGGATCATTTTAGGCACTCAACATGTGTATAAACTTGTACATCTGTATTTGAAGCTTTGGTGGCAGGGGTAGTCATTCCAACACAGCTCAACTGCCTGTTTTTACCATCCCCAAATTGTAAGCGTAAAGAAAGCCATAAAGTAGAACTTCACTCTCTCAATCAACATTGACCATTTTAAATTCTTATGCTGCTGGCATTAGTAAATAGATAGGAAAGTTTATTATATTTATTTGTTTTAAACTATTTCCTATATTTCTTTAGTCACTTCCTAGTTTCCATGCCTAGGCAAATGATGTCATACATCCCAGGAGTATTCAGAAGGGGATTTCTCAGCTAAGCACACCCTCCTGCCTACATGCCTGAACTAAGGGCAGATGGATTACAGGAAGTAATTGCTACACGAATCATCTGCCCTTACGCAGGATGGCCACGTCCATATATGGTAGGGGGTGTTTTTCTAAGTGCTTTCTCAGCAAAATAAAGCATGGAGATGGATGGGCGAGTTTGCTTTGAATATTATATATGAATAAATAGCGTGTTTGGTTTGTGGTGCTCAGATAGTTTTAGTTCTGCTTTAATGAGCCTGCAAAAAAAAAAAAAAAAAAAAAAAAAAAAAACATACAACCGAAAAAACTCACACTTACTTTCTGAGCTCTCTTTGATCTTCCCATTGTTTCTGCTTAATCATTTTCTTCATCTGCCTCTTAGACATAACCTCAGGTGTGTTACATGCTCCATTATTTCTTTTCTCACTATTGGCAAGTTCTGATGTACACTTGCTCCTCTCTGGTTGGAGATCTGATGGTTCTGTGTCCATTGCTGTATAGTAGTAAATATTCTATGCACAACAATCCTATGTTTAAGTCCTACAAGAATAATATACAAGGAGAGAGACATTTTGTAGATCACAAAAAATTTGCAAACAATGCAAAGAATGTATACATGCATGATTGTTGAACATTCTTCTACAACTGTATTTTCATTAAAAGTAGAATCTAGTGCATCTTGCATGTCTCCTAACTTTTAGTCACTCTGCCCCAACCACAATGAAATGATAAAAAGAGTTACGTTTAAAAATACACATTAGGAGTAAAACAAAAGATAAAAAATAAAAAAATGTACTCCTTACAGTCTATCTTCCACCCATCACGCCTACATGTGGGTGCAGTCCCTAGACTTTCCAACAGGATCCTGAGATATTCATTTACCACAGATACTTCTATAGCACCGACAATTTACGCAGCGCTTTACACACACACACATTTTATATATATATTTTACATTCATGTCAGTCCCTAACCCTCAAGGAGTGTACAATCTAAGGTACCTAACTCACATTCATACATACACATATTAGGGCCAATTTAGACAGGAGCCAATTAACCTACCAGCATGGCTGTGGAATGTGGGAGGAAACCGGAGTACCTGGAGGAAACCCACACAGGCACAGGGAGAACATGCAACTCCAGGCAGGTAGTGCCATGGTTGGGATTCGAACCAAAGACCCTAGTGCTGCCAGGCGCAAGTGCTAACCATTTATACACTATACTGCCCCCTATCTCAAGCTCTCAGCTGTGCCCACCAAGCAGCTGGCTGGAGCCCAACAATATTGCCAGGATCCTTCCAGAACTTGGTGCGGCTCTACCCTGTCAACTGATAGCGAGTATTAGCATGCTATCAGCTGACTCTGGGCCACAGCAATACAAAAGTAAAACATACCTGTGACCCTAAGGCTACTTTCACAATAATCCGTCTTTACGGTGATTTTTTTTTTTTTTTTTTTTAAAAGGAAGTGTGACTCAAAAATCATACCAAAAATGCAACACAGATGAGTTTTTGATACATTTTGGCCAAGTTTTTGATTGATTTCAAAGGCGAGGAGCATTTCTGGTGCATTTTTGTACTGCACCGAAAATGCAGCACGCAGGACTCTGAAAAACACATTGGATCCACAAATGATCAGTGTGACAAGTTCCATAGAAATACACGGTCACGCATTTTTTATCCGCTTTTATTAAACGCAAAAGCAGAAGAATAACACATCAGTATCAGGCTATGTTCATACCTATGCAGTTTGCGTTTGATCCATTTCAGCAGTTTTTGCACATACGTTTTGCTTTCTTTTCTTGTTGCTAGGCAGATTTAAAATGCATCAAAAACGCGGCAAAAGCCTAGAGAACCAAAAACGCAACTTTTTGCCTTTTAAAAAAAAGTCCCTGACCCTTTCCAAAAAAAATGCACTGGGTGAAAACGCAGAGATGTGAACATGTTTCATAGGAAATAATTTTAAATGGACTGTAGTGCGTTTCTGCAAAACATTGCAGAAAACACTTAGGTGGGAACCTAGGGGAAAAGCAGCCTAAAACAAAGTACAGGTTTGGCCAGAATTCTCTTCTCCCTGCTATGACATTGACAAGCAAAGTATTGAACATAAGATGACATTGACAAGCAAAGCTCACCCTAAGCAGTATACCAAGCTGTGGTTTAAAATGGCCACAATATACCTATGAAGGGGAAAAGGTCAAGTAAACAGTCCAGAATCAGATATTTCCTGTCTGCATAGCAAGGATCAGAACTCAGAGACTGACCCCCATCAATACAGACGAGGATTAGCCATAAACTGAGTCCCCTAACCGTTCACATGGAATAACAAACAATTCCAGCGCATTCCATGACCTAAAAAGAAGCTCTGTGTTCTGTCACTAACCGAAATCCCGGGATCCTTCTGCTCCCCTCACATCCCTTCCTCACTTCCTACAGCTGCCACAACAACGTGCTACCCGAAGCACAGGTTGTCCGGCGCATTTCTATGACATCAGCTTGGTTGAGGAACGGAACAGAGCGCCATCGCCATATTTGAAGTGGGCATGGCAGCCAGTTCTTTTCATAGTTTTGTCCAGTACATGACGTGAACGAGTGACGTATGTTCTGCTGGCAATGAGAAGTGTGACATCTAGGGGTGACAGTGTTTATCTAGAGTAGACCATTCATGTGGCATTGACTGCCAGACATGATTTTTAAAATCTGTCCCTGAGGTTCAGTTGCGACCCGATGAAATACCATTCTTTTTTTTTTTTCCCACTAGATTTAGTTTTTGCTACATTGTTGCTGTGGTCACTACCATTGCTGACTTTATTCTGAAATGCTAGTCACCTGTGTAGTGTTTAACCACTCACCTACAGGGCACTTATACCCCCTTCCTGCCCAGGCCAATTTCCAGCTTTCAGCACTGTCGCACTTTGAATGACAATTGCGTGGTCATGCAACACTGTACCCATGTGAAATTTGTATAATTTTTTGAGACAGAGCTTTCTTTTGGTGGTATTTAATCACCTCTGGGTTTTCTATTTTTGCTAAACAATCCAAAAACCACTGAACATTTTGAAAAGAAAAAGTTTTTTCTTAGTTTCTGTTATAAAATTTTGTAAATAAGTGATTTTTCTCCTTCACTGATGTGTGCTAATGAGGCTGCAGTGATGGGCACTGATAGGCTGCACTGATGAGGAGGCACTGGTAGGTGACACTGATGGACATTGACAGGCATCACTGATGGGCACTGAAAGGCAGCACTCATATATGGCACTGATAGGCGGCACTGACTGGCACTGTTAGGCGGCACTGACTGGTAATGATAGGCAGCACTGATAGGTGGCACTGACTGGCATTGATAGGTGGCACTGACTGGCACTGATAGGTGGCACTGAAAGGCAGCTCAGATGGGCACTGATATGTGGCATTGATGTGCACTGGTAGGCACTGATATGTGGCATTGATGAGCACTGACGGCTGGCATTGATGGACACTGACAGGTGGCACTGATGGGGCTACACTGATCATCAGTGCTCTGATGATCAGTGTACATGTCCCCTCTGAGGAATGCCGATTACTGGCTCTCCTCTCCTCACAAGCTGTCATAGTGACAGCTCATGACGAGAGAAATGCCGATAACCGGCATTTCCCTATTTACATGCGATCAGCTGTGATTGGACACAGCTGATCACATGACAGAGCCGATGTCTTCGGTTCTTTCTGTTGATCAGTGATCCGCTGTGTCCGAGGGACACAGCACACCACCGATCGCCACGCTGTGCGCCACCGGAGCCGCACACGCGCGGTTAGAGTGGGAGGATGTCATATGATGTCCTCCCAGAACGAGAGAACCGCCTTGCGCCCATCATTTCCTTATATGGCGGGCGGGAGGTGGTTAAAGTAGAACTAAAGGCAAAACTTTTTTCCATTTTGATAAAGAGTGTGGAAGGTTTATCCCCCCGTCAGTTTATTTTTTGCCCCCCGTGTCCCATTTCGGAGATTTCCCTTCACTTCCTGTCCCATAGGCAAACAGGAAGTGAGAGGAAATCATTGCAAATATTAAGGGAATTACTTGGGGACCCCCATGTCACCAGAACTAGTGTCCTCATTTGAAGATTTCTCCTCTATTTCTTTTCTGGGTACAACCCAAAATTTGGGGTTTTGCTTTGACCTTTACTTTCAATGATAATGGTAAACAGGACAAATAGGGTGAATCTGTCCAACGGGACACAGACAGCAATAAAAACTGACAGAGGTTCTAATCCATCTACACTCTGTCCAAAACGTAAAAAAAGTTTTGCCTTTAGTTGTACTTTAACCGCTTCATGACCGACCTATAGGAGATATACTGCTACAGGGTGGCACGGGTGCACAAATTCACGTGTGTATATACATGATTTTATTTTCCGGGTAGGAGGCACGCGCCCCTACCCTTGCCGCCATTTGCTGCCGTGGCTGTCAATCACCGGGTCCCAGCTGGTGATTGCCAAGTATCTCCGACAGGGAGGACAACTGTTTGTAAACAAAACAGTTCTTCTTCCTGTCAGCTCGTGCACACTGCTTTGCATGGCTGTGCACAGCACAGCCATGCAAAGCAGTGTGATTACATGTGTGATTACAGTGAAGCTCACGGGCACAGCTTACAGTGAAACAGCACACAGTTAACCCTTTGATCACCCCTCATGTTAACCCCTTCCTGCCCAGTGCCAATAGTACAGCGTCAGTCCTTTTTTTTTGCATTGATCACTGTATTAGTGTCACTGGGGATGTCAGTGACACCAAGTCAGTTCCCCCCAGTGTCAGAATGCCCAACGCAGTCCCGCTATAAGTCGCTGATTGCCACCATTACTAGTAAAAAAAAAAATAATTTCAGTATCTATACCGCCACTTGTAAACGCTATAACTTTCACGTAAACCAATTAATTTACATGTATTGGGATTTTTTTTTAGCAAAGACATGTAGCAGGATATATTTTGGCCTAAATTTATGACAAAATTTAGTTTTTAACATTTTTTTACTGGACATGTTTAATAGCAAAAAGTCCAAAATATAGTTTTTTTCCTCAAAATTGGCGGACTTTTTTTTATAGTGCAAAAAATTTAAACCGCACAGGCGATCAAATATCACCAAAAGAAATCTCTATTCGTGGGAAAAATAGGACGTAAATTTAATTTAGGTTCAGCTTTGCATGACCCCGCAATTGTCAGTTAAAGTAATGCAGCGTCGTAACGCAAAAAATGGCCTGGTCTGGAAGGGGGGGGGGGGGGGGGGGTGAATCCTGTGGAGGGCAAGTGGTTAAATTGTAAGTTCACCTTTATGGAAAATCTGTATGGTGATCTTACAATGGACCCCCTCCCCATCCCCCCAATCCCGCTGTACCAGACTGTTGTGAGCCCCCTCTGTCAGACACCGAAAATCCGCATCACCATTCCAGGGATTTGAAATCCCCCCGACTTAATCTCCACTTTGTATTGCTTAACCAGTACGGACTACAGGGATTCTAATTGGTCAACATCATCACATGGACGGCGCTGACCAATCAGAATTCATCTAGCCTGCACTATCAGCACACTGAGGAGAGAAGATTAGGCCACAGGCTGCTTCCCTGTTCCAGGGATTCGAATTCCCCGTGGAGGGAGAGTCCCCAGGTAGCCAAGGCTCTAGTGCACATATCTGGATTGCGAAAGGACTCGAGTAAGTATTGGGGAGCTGGGGGGGAAGCTGCATAGAGGTTTTTTTACCTTCATGCATAAAATGCATAAAGGTAAAAAACCTTAAGCCTTTACAACCACTTTAGATACATGGATGGGTTGAATGAAAAACTGACCCCATTCCACATATTCAACATGGATGGGGGAATCCTTCCCGCTGAGTTATTGCATTGTGACAGTGGGGAGACTTCCCCACCATCAAAATACACTGATCAGTGCTGTAGCTTATTGCCTGCAACGTTGATTGAGCAGCTTTTATCCAACAGGCAGTTGAATAGATGTTGATCAGTAGACTGACTTCCGTTCAACCACAGCGGCCAAACATGGATCGAACTTTGGGCGGTCCCTGCTTAACCTAACAAATTGCGATCTATGTATAGCCAGCTTTATCCACGAAGGAGCCACTGGATTGTTGGGTTTCTTGGTTCCTGGTGATCAGTGATAACCTCACACGTGTTTGAACACGAGTCCAATCCTACCTGGGCGGTGGTGGAGGGATTATTACATACACTTTTCATACATGTGGCTGTGGGGTGGGGAGTGCCTCCACTGCTCATTATTGGCTGTCGGCTTTGACATCTACCTGGAGGGAAAGCTCCGGTGGGTTCAGATGTGTGTCTGAACCCACCTAAGCTCATCCCTAATAACAACCCTTCAGTGAATACCACCACTCTTGACACACCAAGGCTAAAGCCTGCCATAGATTAATTAAATCTCGGCCAATTCAGGGAGCAGCCGAGATTCAATCCATCTATGGGAAGCTGGTTGTGCTGAATTCAAAACACTGCTCAACTTCAGTACAAGCAGCCTGTTGGATTGTTTGCATTTGCTATAGCTGCGACAGTAATCATTGTGCTCTTCCAGCTGGGAAGGCTCCCTGCCAGAAGAACACAATAGTGCCCTAGGAGAGATTCCCCAACAACACACTGTGTTGATGGGGCAAGCAAGTGAATTTCTTTCCTTCCTCCCATGGTTGCAGGAAAGAAAATTGAATCATCTATGTCAGGGGTCTTGAATTAAAATGTATGGAGGTCTGGTCAGCAAAATTTCCTTCCAGGTCCGAATCTCGTTAGCGATATAACACATCATAGTCCCCCAGTACATTGTAATCTTTAGCATAACTTTCACACTATAGCCCCCTCTACATCACAGTCCCCTCTTTAAAGAAGTCCCACAGTGTCCTCTTTTCCCTTCACATCACAAAGCACAGTGTCTCCTAACACAACACAGCACCCCTAACACAACATAGCACCCCTTAACATAACACAGCACCCCTTAACATAACACAGCGCCCCTAACAACACAGCAAATATATAGCAAATATGGGAAGTCTCTTTGCTGGACAGGGATGTCTCTTTGCTGGATGGGCTGTCTCTTTGCTGGATGAGCTGTCTCTTTGCTGGACAGGTGAACAGAGAGTCCGAGGATTTATTCCATTTATTCTAAATGAAGAAGGAACAATAATCGCAACTGGCCACAATGTCAGGGATGTAAGTGGGGAGAGCTGTCAGATGTGGATGGAAGTTCCAGATGACAGGAGTGCAGTCCAGTGATCTTCAACATGCATGCTGTGTGAGTTGCAGAGAGGTTCTAATGGGGAGCTGAGTGGTGCAGGAGGCAGATAGGCAATGTGTTTCAGAGATTATCTCCTTTCTCAAGCCTTTACAAGCATGCAGCGTCCATCTCTCACACAGCATGTGTGTAATTCTCAGGATCGTATGGACAGTAATATAAATCTTTTTGCAGTTAAAATAGCTGGAATATACAGTATGTATTCATCTGTGTCTTTATATTTTTGCAACCTGATTTTTCTCTGCTGCAGTTAAGTTACAATTACAGATCTTATCCCTCATAGCATATTGATTAATTAATTTCTCTGTCACTTAGTTCTTTCCTGCTATCAGCATGTTCATTGTTAGCACATGAGCACCACAACCCAACTGATTGGCTCTTTGCACTGCTTCTTTTTCTGCCAGTCTGAGCTCTGCTGTACATATACTCCAAGACAAATATCTCACCAGTGGAGATATAATACATTTTCAGCTGGTACAACTCTCTGGCATCTTTTAAAAACAGAAAAGGTGGGCTGACCATTAATGTGGCTTAAAGTGGGACTTCACTCTCTCAATCAACACTGACTATTTGTAATCCTTATGCTGCTAGCATTAGTAAATAGGTATATCATATTTACTTATTTCGATAAAACAATTTTACATTTCTTCAGGCACTTGGTTTCCAAGCCTTGGCAAATGATTTCATACATCCCATGAGTCTACAGGAGGGGAGAAGGAACTTTATAAACCAAGCACCCCCTCCTGCATGTCTGAGCTAATGGCAGATAGATTCCAGGACATAAATGCTACATGATTCACCCGCCCTTACAAAAGATGTCCAGAAATGCTGGGGGGTGTTTTTTCAAAGCGATTTATCAGCAAAATAAAGCATGAAGACATGGATGGATGGGGGAGTGTGCTTTGAATATTAAAAATATATTAAACAGTGTTTTTGGTTTGCGGTGCTCAGAGGTAGTGTAGTTCCACTTAAAAAAAACAAAACTGTTGTTCTTTATTTTGTTTGTGCACCCTCCTATGCTACAGATCCTGTACTATATGAAAAAGGAAAGAGTCAAGGAATATAATGGAAAAGAACTCTACCCGTGTGCACCATATGAACTGGCAGCTGAACGCAACCCAGAAGGTGAACTACAAGTCAAGCTGTACAGTTTTGTTAACCTCCCTAGCAGTCTTATTATGTCCATATTTCTGTGCTCAAAGTGATACATTTTTTTGCATGGAAATATGTATTTTTTTTATTGTAGGCCTGTCATTTTTAGGAATAACTCACTGAAATCTGTCCGAACAAGAGTCTAGTAAGCATCCTGGGTATGTTAAAATTTGAAACACGAAATCATAAATTATAATTTAATAAATAATCATAAAAAATAATAATATAATAATAAATTTAATTCAATAATGTAATCAAACCAAAAACACTGACATTTGAAATATAGCGCCAAGTTCGCACATCACTGAGCAAAGTCGCAGAATCGTTTTCAGTATCTGATGACGAATTTCCCCACGAATCATTATCACTCAATTCTGCAAGTAGTTCTAATTTACTATCGCTGTTCTCTAGCTGGTTTAAAACTGCTTTTGACCTAAAGGGACGACTTTTTGGACGCCATGGACGTTTCTCAGTTTCCAGGCAGAAAGAACAGTAAAAATGCAGGGAGGGCACAGGACAAAGCACTAGGGACAAAATGTATGTGAAATGGTTTGATACAGTAATGTTTTACTATGTGATTTTAGTGAATTTAGTGAATGTCACTTTTTGTCATTTTCAAATTTTCCGCCAGTTCCGTCCCCCGTACATCCCGACGTCGCAGGGAACGGAACCCAGAATACAGATGCCAGCATCCGGCGGAGGACATTACAGGGGAGCGCAGGACAAGGTAAGAGAAGAACAGATCCTGGATCAACGCCGCATGGTAAGCCCGAGTGTAGCTCGGGGTTACCGCTTGTGGTACTGAAACTTTACCCCGAGCTACACTCGGGAATACCGCCAGGGAGGCTACTACATTTGCCAAAAGTTGCAAACTGTTGTAGCAGCCGGGAGTGTGTGCAATAACCCCCACTGCCACAGACATATACCATGCAGTAAAATAGTTAAGGCTTGTTCACACCATACCCTTTTACACACTACAAGGCATGTGTGTTTTAGTCCGTGTGCATTCGCGATAGAACCCAAAAGCAGAACTCCACCCCAAAGGGGAAGTTCTGCTTTAAGGACTGGTCCCTGCTCCCCATGCAGAATTAGCACCTTTGGGGACTCGGGGGGGGGTACCAATGTTGACAGGTGTCTGTCTACAATAGGACAATTCACAATGTGCTACTCGTGCATGCGCAGTGGGCACACAGCTGTGAAGCCACAAGTTGTCACAGCTGGGTGCCCACAATTAAGATGCCAGTACCGGGGACAGAGGAGGCTGGTTAAGCCAGTTTTTGTAGCTGATGGATTTTATTTTTTTACAGGAGACTGGAGCTCCACTTTAAAAATGCATTACAACATGCATTGAAAAGTGCAATTAAAATGCAGCTGAATGGCATACACATAAGAGTGAATGGGCTCTTATAGTTCAATTATTAGCTTGACCTGTAGGTGGCAATGCTTTTCAAGATAGCTGATGATGCACACAAATTAGCTTGTGTTAATTCCAAAATCCTTTCTCACACAAAAAATAAATACAATTTACTTTATTAACCACTTGCCCTTCAGAGGATTTACCCCCCTTCCTGACCGGGCCATTTTTTGCATTGAGGCGCTGCGTTATTTTAACTGCCAATTGTGCGGTCATGCAAGGATGCACCCAAATGAAATGTACGTCCTTTTTTTCCCACAAACTCAGATTTCTTCTGGTGGTATTTAATCGCCTGTACATTTTTATTTTTTGCTCTATAAAAAGAAAGACAATTGTGAGAAAAAAAACTATATTTTTGACTTTTTGTTATTAAACATGTCCAGTAAAATAATGTTAAAAAATCTAATTTTGTCATAAATTTAGGCCAAATGTATTCAGCTACATGTCTTTGCTAAAAAAAATCCCAATATGTGTAAATTAATTGCTTTGCGTGAACTTTATAGCATTTACAAATGGCAGTATATATACTGGGATTTTTTTTTACTAGTAATGGCGGCAATCAGCGACACATAGCAGGACTTGCGGGACTGCAGCAGACATTCTGACATCAGGGGGAACTGACTTGGTGTCACTGACATCCCCAGTGACACCAATACAGTGATCAGTGCTAATAAAAAGCACTGACACTATACTAATGGCACTGGGCAGGAAGGGGTTAACATGTGGGGCGATCAAAGGGTTAACTGTGTGCAGGGAGTGTTTTGCTGTGGGGCTGTGTCTGTGTGCTTCACTGTAAGCTCACTGCTTTGCACGGCTGTGCTGAGCACAGCCATGCAAATCAGTGTGCAGGAACTGACAGGAAGGAAAACTGTTTTGTTTCCTAATAATTCCTTCCCCCCGTCGGAGATCCTCGGCAATCACTGGGCGCAGGCAAGTAATCACCGGCTGGGACCTGGTGATTGACAGCCGCGGCCACGAATGGCGGTGCGGGTAGGGCACGCGCATGGCCCTACCTGGAAATGCAAAATCATATATATATATACGTGATTGTGCACACCCATGTCACCCTGTAGCAGTATATCTGCTATAGGGCGGCCGGAAAGCAGTTTTAAGGTATTTTATTTCCAGGAAGATCTCTTCTAATAGATGATAACCACTTGCCCTCCAGAGGATTTACTGCTATAGGGCAGTGGGAAAGTGGATCATTTATGGAATGTTGCTACAAAAAAAAACAATAACATTAGTCTAAGTACAAACAACTGTAAATTGCAGATTTCCCTTCAAGGCCTGTTCACACCAGATGCAGTTCAGTGCTTTTATTTTTCTGCATCAAAAACGCATGGATAGTAGATTTTATTGGTTCGAAAGGCATAATTCACATCAGTGCAGTCAGTTCCAGTGTGTTCCAGTGCAGAAAGAAAGCAGAACATGCAGCATTTTTTCTGCACACAGCCGTACTGGAATGAGGTGAAACTCAGCAAAATGCACATTTCCCTATTTAAGATGAAGAAAAATAGAGAGGGAAAAACACACACCATAATGCACGGGCATCAAACTGGCGGCCTTCCAGCTTTTGCCAAACTACAACTCCCACGAGGCATTGCGAGATTGACAGTTACAAGCATGACTCCCAAAGGCAGAGGCATGATGGGACTTGTAGTTTTGCAACAGCTGGAGGGCTTCCAGTTTGACAACCCTGCCATAATGCATAAAAAATGCACTGGAACGCACCAAAATGCATGCAGAAAAACACATCCAGAACACATCCGGGCTGAATTTCTGTGGTGTGAACTTCTCATTCCTGAATACTTCATAGAGTTTTCTGGGCCTTTTCTCAGTTATAATATATTGTAGATATCTGGCTCCCAACACAAAATTGACCGAATCCCTGTGTGCGGCGCAACATGTCCTGTCTATATTCACAGCTGTGCAACAACAGTGTGTAATAGCAAGAATCCCAGAAGGGGGTCCTGGAAATTAGCTGCAGGAGGCAGCTCCTTTGAAAGCAATGGGAGGCTGCTGGCTCCAGCAGCTAATTGCGCCCGCTTGCATGCATCTGTGTCCAGGGCCGATACTGTCAGATGATATATGTTAGCGACTGCAATTAGTTGCAGGAGCTGGCAGCCTCCCATTGCATTCAATGGGGCTGCCTCTCACAGCTAATTGCCAGGACCCCCTGCTGGGGTTCACGCATCTACACACTGTCGGGCCAATTTGTAAGTGTGAATGTGGCCTTCTTTATATTTTACTGACATAATTTTTGACATTATCTTTAGCTATTCTTGTTACAGGATTTCTAAGGAAGCAGATCACAGTTCATCTGGGAAACATGTCAAGGGTCTACCACCAACCACTTGCAAGCCTTGTAAACATCACTCTTTGAACTGTGTGTAGTTGGCAGTGGCTGGGTAAAGGTAGTTCATCCTGTCAGTATATGTATTTCAGTCTATATATAGCTGGGGAGCATATATATATATATATATATATATATATATATATATATAAAATGATGCTTTAATATATGTATAATAAATAATGAGATTTTTTATGACTGTATTTCTGAGTGATTTGTACTTTATTGTGACACCTAAAAAGTCCAACAAAGTCGATGTCTGTTCATGAATTTCTGTTTTAAATGGGGATGTGGTATCCAGATACAATGACCCTTTTCTTCTTTTTTGTAAGTTATGTAGCGCTAAACTCTTGGGTGGTGCTGGTTTTGGGTCCCCCTTTACTTCCTGCACAGCCAGGCAACATGCATTTTCCAGACACAAGAAAAAGTCCATGGTCTTGGTTTTTGTATTTGTTAGGGAATTTACCTTGGATGGGGTAAAGGGGTGATGGAATATCCAACTTGATTGAAGAATAACAAAATGAGAACAATTTCCTTCTCTAGACTACTACAAGAATGATAGATCTTTGACTGTGTTCCAGTGACAGTCTTTAGCAAAGTGACAGTTTGCAGGAGCTCTTAATCCCCTAAGTGAACAAAATACCAGCCCACCTGGCTACGGTATCTGATCCCAGGACAAGGGATGGGGTAAGCTATGAACTGTTCCCTGAAGACTTGCCAAGAACTTGAATTCAGCAGACTTCTCCCTCATAGGCCCTGGGGGGTGTAGAGGTAACCACACTGTCCTTGTCCTGCAGCTGAGCATAGAATGGCTTTCAGGCCTTCTGCTGGGCTGGTTCCTCTCCAAGCTATGCAGGCTATCCTTCTCCGGTGGACTGCAGGGCAGCGGAGCTCCCTCCTTCAGCTTTCCTCCAGTCTCCAGCCTGGAGGCAGAACCCCCCTTCTCTGGGGCCCCCCCTTCCAGGCTACACAGCAGCACTTCTCTGCACTCCATCTTCCACCAGACTCCCCTGCTTGCCAGGCTCTGTCATATGAATGGGCCAGTCTGCCATACTGCCAGGCCCTCTGCCTGGGATTGGTCAGACTGCCATAAACATGCTGATCAGCCCCTACTCACCTCTGCCTAGTGACTTCTAGAAGCTTCTCCAAGCTTCTAGAGCAGGGAGAGGTACCAGAGGACTGACCTGAAGTAAACTCTCTGTCTCGCACCCAGGCTTCTAGCAAGCCTCTAGCTACACAAAAGAACTATCTACACTACATGGGACTATTGTAATATATTGTATATTTGGTCTTCTTTGCAGTCAGCAGGCGGAGCTCTTGGCCTTTTTTCACATTTCTTCTCCTTTGTTGTAAACAGCCTGTTGTTTTTAGAGCTCAATAACCCAAACTGATGTTTGCCTACACAAGTGAATGAATCAGAAGAATGATTTATTCCTTGACTGCTCTGTTTAAAGTTTTAGTCAGACAGCACATGCTGGGTAGGGAACGTTTCTTGTCTACCTACAGCCATCTTTGAGTAATTCATAGTGCTGTGGAAATCCCTTGTTATTGTCAATTGTTATTGCATTAAAAGTGTATTTGTTAAAAAAGTATCTTACTTGTACAGTACAGGGCACAGCACAAGAATTCATTAATCGTGTGTTATATGCCTCTACCTTCAAGTGACTGGACACTGGCAAAAGCTTTGCTAGGAATGTCTCCAGTATAAACTCATATAACCCTGCCCACTCACTGGGATTGCTGTTTTTTGCTAGTGTCCTTAGGTGATGCACATCTCTGGATACATTTTTGAAACCATTGTTTTGTTATTTTTCTTCACTACTATGACTGACACTTCTATCAAGCTCCAGCTGCTTATTGCCTCAGGGCTCCTTAGCTGTTTCTGGATTGGTTACTCTTCATGTACATCTTGGGAATTGTACCTAGGCCCCCACTACTGCAAACAGTAATGTTTTCATTGGGCACTGGATCCTGCATTCGGTGCTCAACATGGCACATGGTGCAACGAGTGTAATTATCCGAAGGGTGCTATACAAGTACAGGGCTATGGTCCTTTCCTATGACACCCAAACCCTGAAGACCC